CTGAGTATCACACGCGTGTATTCAGTTACATGAAACAAATATGACTTAGTACCCACCTTTTAAATGTTTTTAAATGTGCAAAATTAATTTGCTTAACTGACTCCCTTAATTAAATTACAAAGAATATGAAAATTATTTACAATACATTCAGGAAGAAGGATGCTGAAGGATTTTTAAACTACTTATTAAAAGTCCACCTGTCGTGTCCAACGATAGTCTCAAGATTAAACGGAGTTGTGTTGTAATAATCATGTAAAGAACATTTTTTAAAAAACTTTTCCTATTTTTTTTTTGTCGTCCCGCGGAGGAGGCGTACCATTACCGAGGAAGAGATTGGCCGTACGTGAGGGATCCGTACCGTGGTTTTTCTACCGTGGGCCATCAGCTCTTAATGATGGCCAACTATTTATTAACGATAATGCACTAGCCTTACGTGCCTTTGTCGGGACCTACTCCCACACTCTCCCATCTACATCATCCATGCATCCTCCTCATAACTGTGAGCCAGGCAGAAAGTATTTTATCCAAACAGATAGGGTTGTGCACGAATCAGATAATGTATGTGAAAAACAATCCTTCTTATATATACAAGGCTAATGAAGCAACAAAGAAAAATATCTTCGTTTTTATATTTTAAATATTTTTTTATATTTTGTATTTTAATATCTGCAAATTATAATATAAAATATGAATCAATAAATCTTAAAACTTTAATTGGAAATAATAACAAATTTAACGATCACGTTATGCAATATTTAAAAGTAATCAAAATTTTCAAGAAATTTTAAATTAAACTAAAGAATCATGCATAAAAATAAAGCATCTGCAAACACCGTTAGCAGCAACATTTAAAGAACATAACCACTAGCAAAACATGTGATCATTCATATCAAATCTGTAAACAAAAATAAATAATTAATACAATATCAAAATCAACTAATAATCAAATAAAATAAGATTAAATTGTTATCAAAGAAAAAAAAAATTAATATTGATTAATATCATCATTTAATAAATTGCTGTAAAGATAAAATGCTTTTTGAGTTACATTTGTTTGAATTATTAAAAAAAAAAATTAACATTTTCATAACAGGTTACTTCTATTTGAACTTATATCTCAAAACCATTTTTTCTAAATCTTCAAAATTAAAATTGAGACAGAAAATTAATACATATAGATGCTTACATAAACCCATATGTGCTTACTCATCACAGAAATATGTATCGCTAAAAAAACCTCCCAATCAAAATTATTGCAACTCATAACAGAACTCTACATCCAACCTTAACCAACGATTTTGTACAAATTTAAACGGACATATCCACAGATTAATAAGAGACATGGCCACCTCTGGCATACTCCTGAATATAAGGAGACTAAAAAGAAGTTGGATATGAGATCTTTCTTAGACAACCTAGTAATTGAAATAAGGCAAGGCAGAGGTACTGCCGGATAATGTCCTTCATCATTCCTTAAATATCATTATTTTTTATTCTATTCAATTCTCAAAAAAAAAAAAAAAAAAAAAAAATATATATATATATATATATATATATATATATATATATATATATATATATATATATATATATATATATATATATATATCACTACATCTGTAGTTAAAATCAGTTCACGAGTGAAAATTCAAAGTTAGGCTTATGAAACAAAATTCTACATTTTCAATATCTTCAAAAATCATCTCTGATTAACAATTTTCCTCATGAACAAATATACTGATTTCGATTATAAGTAAACGAAAAATCTTGTATGGCAACGATGTACAACTGGTTTAATAGGTCTTCAAAAAATATTTAACGGCTTTAAAAAACGACAATATATATATATCCTTATAAACGTATATATAAGGAAAAGAAATGCCCTTATGTTACCCGTTATGCCCTCCTTTAGAGACAAAGGAGGTAAAAATAACTAAAATATTAACTAAGTACAATAAATTCCCATTTAAAAATATATCCTAATATCCTATTATATGGATTACAATTCGATTTAAATTTTAGTATTTTTTAAGAAAAATAATAGTATTTAGAAGTTAAAAAAAGTTATGAATAGTAACAAGATAATCACAAAAATAAAACGGAGAGATATGGTATAATGCATACACACACATATATTTATATATTTGTCAAAGATAGAGTTCTGTTGAAAATTGACAACCGTTTACGGACTAGAAATGCTTCGGTATTCTTATGCTAATTAGATTTTATGCTGTTTATTTCGATACTTTGTTTATTCAGGTGTTTGAACGAGCCGATTCAAAAGGGGTTTATGCCTCAATTCCAATATAAAACTTGAGTTCAGTTCACTTATTTTTGCAAAGTAAGGATGAAACGCCATCGTTTCGAAATTGAGATTGAAATTTTCAACGGATTTTCTGCGAAAGTTGGTTTTTTGTGTAATACCAGATACTCTACAATTCGTAATGTTGAATAATATTCTATATTTAAATAAAAATTATACTCATTTTATTAACGAAAAAAATTATATATTTTTAAATTCTATTTTCAAAATATGAGTTATATTTTCTTTCGACATCTTTCGAACTTGACACAGCATATTTGTACCTCGAAGGCAACTATCTTATGTCCAATAATGGTATTTATTATTGCATTTCCATTATTTTGGTGATATTTTCTAAGGTTAGATTTCATAAGCTGAAAAGGTAAATGAATCTACAACAATCTGTAGTATACTATTTGACTCTCTTTCACTATTTTTTTTTTCTCTCCATACATTATTTTTATCAGAGGATAAATTAGTAGTTGTATAAATGAGAAGACCATACTGTAAGACCTCTTTTATACCAAGAATGACATAATATATCGAGCTAATATATAATCGATTATATTTTATTAGTTCTTCAATTTTTAAATTATGTCTTAGAATGTTATTACGAAATACCAACAAACATTTTTGGAGAGGATTTTAACAATGAATATATAACTAAACAACAGAACATGTTTAATGATGAGATCATTATTTTAATTATTTATTCTTAAATGAGCTGTTTTTATATTTACAAATTCGTTCAAATATGGAAATACGATGCCATTTTAAATTTCGCTTATCCTCGAATATTCTCGTTCCCAGCAAGTGCCTGGGCGTTAACCCGCCATCACATACCATCGCTGAGATGCAAATGGTAACTTCTTTAGCAACGGAATGCTCAAGTATTCGCCAATGTTATTTATTTTTAGAACTAGGCCATGCCCTCAAAAGCATAACGCAAACAAACAGAAATGTCATTTTCTATTTAAGCTTGCACGGGGTAGCTGCGAGTTGTTGACAAGGTTTCGTACGGCATATTTTTGTTCTATTTTTAATTTTTTTTTTTTTAATAAGGCTCTAAAAATAGACAAAATAATGTTATGGTCGGAATGTTATTAAAACAAACTATTTATATACCTTAGTTTATCAACGTAAAATACCTCTGCAGCCTTTGGACATATGTTGGCTAACTTCCAACATGTCACCGTTATACACTCTGCTAACTAAACGCCAAGTAACAATGTTTATTATCAACCATTATTTAAAATAATTAATTCTTCATCAATTTGCAATTCAAAGGGGAACATACTAACTGTTTAAAATAATTTTAAATACAGAAACATTTGACAATAACAGCGCACATTTTTAACGAATCGAATCCTACTAGCACATTCCTGAAGTATTTTAAATGTTGAATTGAATGATCCAGGTTTTACGAACTGGCTGTATATGGTATTTTGAACTATGCTTCTACAGGAGTACGGATTGGGTTAAAATGAAACGAAAAAAAAAAAAAAATAACGACTGAAAAAGTATCTTCTAAAACTAATATAGACAAATTAGGTTATAATTCGAAAAATACAACACAGCCGTTTGTCCCTAAAATGCAGGTAAAGAATAAAATAATCCATCAACATTTAGCCCATTAAGGTACTATCAGGACAGAAAAGAAAAACAAACCCAAGATCACATTGCTCCATGACATCCAATCGCATACTGTAAAAAAGACGAGGTAACACAGCTGAGAAAGGTTATAATCGAACGGTTAGCAAAATACAGGAAAAACACGTAATTGCCAAACTAAATGAATAATTACAAAAATATACAAATAATAATAAGTAAAACTTTATTCTTCACCTGCATTCCAGAGACCCAAGGCTATGTTGTTGATTTTTTCCTAAATATAACTGACATTCATTTTCTTTCTCTTGGAGAGTCTTTAATCCTTTGCATTAATACTGACGTAAGGTTCAAGCAAACAAAAATGATGCATAACGACAACTCAATTTACTCAAAGCTAAAACATTAAATTTGAGAACATAAAAGAAATCAATACGTTGAAATTGATCTATACCGACATTATGTTCTAAATAATAAAATTGATAACATAACAAGACATCACTACATAGTGACTTAAACCACGTATTAAACACCATGGACATAGAAATCCTTAAGCTAAGCATTCATTAAGATCCATACATAAACAATGTAAACAAAATGAGTGTGATAGACAAAGAGAAAAGAGCCGAGATAAAATATATATTATTGGATAACTACGAACAGGGCGCTGATGAGTACCTACTCCATTTATCAAATCAAATACTTAAAGATTACAAAAAAAAAAATGACATTTATTAAAAGGTATGTCTTTTATTGATTGAATAATTAGTAAGTGCGAAAATAAGAATGGTGACTACCTTTTGTAGGTAAAAGATCAAGTGAATCAGAACGAGCTCCTCTTGAAATTTGACATGGTTGATTGTTGATCTATTTTAAGTATGATTGTGGTTAATATATTATTGCCGTTTCGAGTTGGTACATGTGTATTCTATAGATCCAACACATACCTGAATCGAATTGATTCGCAAAGAATGGTCACCATATATTAAAGAGTTAAATTCAATAGTATTTCTTGTTTATATATCTAATCCTCAGGTTAAGTAATTGAACTCTGTACCAATATAGAACTAAGCTATCCATTCTCTTTCAGGGTGAGACTTGGGGAGTCGCCTTCGAAGTCCTCTCACCGGAGGCATTGCCCTACCTAGACCAAAGAGAGTGCCAGCTGGGAGGGTACACGACGCTCTTCCTCGAGTTCCAGCCCACCGTCGGCGAACCCTTCCCTGTCCTGGTTTACTGGGCGGGAAGGGACAGCTGCCATTGGCTTGGCGATGCCCCCGAACAAGAAATAGCGGATCAGATCATTTCCTCCAGCGGGCCGAGTGGTCACAACGTCGAATACCTTCTCAGGTAATTATATTCAATCATTGTTCATAAATACTTTATCCATTTATTCATCACGATCATTTATAACATATTGCGCATATAAAAAAGGACGACATATCTTTAATACGTCATAGAACAATAAATCGCATACAATGCAATGAATATCTCCTAAACAAAGCGTTTCCGGAATTTTTTTTCTTAATCTGAGGCGTTAGTTTATTTTCACAGTTTTGCACTTAATCCTGAATCACCCTGTATATCTAAATATTAAAGTTCTACCAATGAGTAGTTTCTCTATATACTATAGATCAGATGTACTAGTTGTATTTTGATGTTCAATACAGTTGTACATTTCCCTGGTGGGAATCAAACCCAAAACATTCAGAACTAGTCATTCTAGGATAGCCCTAGTAGTGGAATGATAACCAATTGTATTCATTTTCAGTCTCATAAACTCATGATTTAAAAAACCTTGGACTAATACAACCCATAAAGTGTCTTGGGTTCAGTACTATTTAGGGAAACTACTGTTTTTTGGTAAACGGTTGTGCAAGGAGGTGATTTGACCGAGATCACGTTCAACCCCCAGGTTTTCCCCATTAGTCAATTATTTTAAGTAAGGGTACCCACTTTGTAGAGGCAGAGTAAGCCCTACGTGCGTTTCCCTACCTCAGGGACGTCCTAGGCCCGATGGAACATAATAATTAATTTTTCTGCCATCAGCTGGGATTCGAACATTGAGCATTCGAAGTTCAGTGCCCTGCCACTCAGCTACCCCATTCCCTACTCATGATTTATAATAATTAGAAAACAAGGCGTCCTTGTAGTGGACAGAGTATTATGGGTAAAATTTCTATGATAAATACAATTGGATATAACAAGATATTTGGTGAGAGTGTGGTAACGGGCTTAAGCGATAAATCTGGGGCAAAGAATAAGTTCCATTGGAAATAAGAAAAAAAAAGCTCGATGAAGCGTATCAAACATCTATGAATCACAAATTCTACCTAAATCAGCTCTATTCCTGTAATTCTGGAAATAGGTCTGATTCCAGTAGAGTTACAACATAGACTACAAAGAGCCAATATTGACATGAAGGAAATAACGGCGCGGTTGGGACGGGGCAGACACACTTTAACTGATAATGCCCGTTGAGTGCCTCATCAACAGTTGTTGTGCTCCGTTGAGCCTTCCCTTCAACAATTGGCCAATCATCTATTTACACCAATCGTCCGGAACACGAGAGGTCTCTCCGAGTCGATCAGTAACCTATTTATTTAGTAAAAATTAGACTGTGAGTTATGTAACTGGCACGGATATCGAAATCATTCTGACCATTTTATAAATTTGGATCGCTACTGATATTGGAAATGAGTTTTATCTCATTGATCACAGTTATCCAAATGTTTGAATTATCCTTCCGATTGTTGGATCTTACCGTATTTTCCTCTTTTCCAGATTGGCTGAGTACGTCCGAATGCACTCTCCAGAAACTAGAGACGACCACTTATTCCAGCTGGAGGCGCTGGTTCGACGCGGCGTCCAAGAGCGAGGACTTGTCCTGGAAAATCTGATGGGTCCAGACATAACCTTACCACAGCCAACTCCCGTTTCTCCAGATGACGAACCTCCAACGCACTCGCAGTTCGCCCCCAACGTGCCCTCCAAGAAGCTCCGCTGCCTCAGCATCTAGTCTACCAACATTAGATTATAAGATACGATTTTTTCTATGTTTGTGAATAATTAATTGTTTAGTTTTTGACACATTTCTTCTACTAATATTTTTTTAACGCGTTTTTAAGATATATATTTATTAGTCAAAGTTAAACATTCCTTTAACGTGTTTCTTTGTTATTAGTTGCGAGTGTAGTGTTATGTGTGCTTTTAACTTCTTTTTTTTTATATAAAATGTGACAAATTATAATTTTATTCTAGCTCATGCTTTTATTTTATCATAGGCATTGTGAATTTGTAAATGTTTTTTAGACAGTTCCTGTACATTTTAGAAATAAGGCTGTGAGCTGTGCCTGTAAAATAAGTTGTATTTATTTGTTAATTAAATGTATATTTTTAAAATAATTTTCTAATATTTCCTCCAGTTCATCATTTGAAAAACTTAGCGTTATTTTCTTTCTTTTGAAGTTAAACAGTTTTAAAAAATATATATATTGTAGAAGAAACCCGAATAAAATAAAGCTTTGATTTCAAATTTATATTTGAAATCTTCCGATCTGGCCCAATCCAGATACCTTTCACTCCATAACAAACTGCAGAACCATCCGAATCCTCTCGTTTCAAACCTTGCTTCCTCCTCGATTCCTGATAACCCTCCGAGGCGTCTGAAAAGAAGATGGCCTCGGGATCTTCTAATATAGAACTTTAATTTGAGTTCTACCAATGGGTAGTTTCTCTTCATGTTGTACATGCCATGTTACAAATTTCTCATTTACGTATTGTATTCTCTATGTAATACAGTTGTAAATTCCATTAAAATAATAAAAAAAAAAAATATTTGAAATCATTCATAATAAAAAAAAATTCGATTTAGATGCTTAAAACTTATTTAAAAATCAAAATGAATAAGGCTATAATTTCTTAAAGGTTAATTTAGAAAAAAAACATTCCTTTATTAAAACTACCATGTAAAGAATTTAGTAAGGTTTTCCCTCAGTTTTCCCTTTGATAGTCGCAGTTATTTTATTAAAATCTAATTTATTTAAAAACAAAACAAAATTTAAACGTCATTCAAAATTGTCAATAAATAAATGTACTTTAACTACAATACGAGCATAAATGAATCGAAATTTTAATTTGTTATAAATTAATTAATTTGGAATAAAAAGATTCCAGGTGATAGAATCAAATGTGGGAGAACCAAATGAATAATGATTCTAAAATAAACTACATCTAATTTATGAAGAATATATAAGATAACTGAACTATAAATATTTTTAACACCCAATATAAATTGGTAAGCAGGCATTAACAAATATGAAGCAATAAAGTAAAATTTCACATTCAAAGAAAATAAATAAATTGTCAAGTAAAAAACTAAAACGGCTTCAAATATGCTAAAATCTACGCTATACATAATAGGGCAGTATAAATGTCTTTTCCGGCTCTCAAGAGTGGTGGATTTATTTAAATAAAGACATACCTTCAAAAACTTATAACTATTCAATCAAAATTATTGCGACTCATAACAAAAGCACTTTGGTACGTGACTAACAAAACTTTACATACTGACCTCCACCTTCCAATAATTGACGGCCCTTTACCAACTGTTTTATACAAGTTTAAACGGACATAACAACACATTAATAACAGACAAAAGCTCCCATAGCTGACTTAAGCTTGAATATGAGGAGGGGATTAAAAAGGCATCGAGTGAGAGATCCATCCATCCTAAGGAATTTTTTCGTTTGATATTGTTTATGTTGCTGTAACTTCAAGTTTAGATGCAGTTTGATGCAGTTTTGAAATCACTACTTTTCATACACTATTTTTTTTTTTTTTTTTTTTACACTTTCCTTGTCAATGTTACCAAAGCAGCAATGTTATCAATTATTTTTTTTTATTTATTTATTTATTTATTTAGGAATATAATATTCTTTCACGTGGACAATAATTATAGTGATATATGAACACATTCACACCAATATTACAGAAAATATAATGAAATTAAAGGATTCCTCCCTTAATTGAAACAAGTCAGGGAAGAGGTCATGCTGAGTACTGTCCTTCTGACATATCATTATTTCTTGTATTTTTAGCACATTTGCCCTGTGTCAACACAAGTTGACAAAACAAATATATCTTGTGTGTTTGAAGCACAAAATGTACAGTTTTTAAGATAACATGGGCACTACCTTATACTAGCGATATTGAACATTGATTCCCCGGATCACTGATCAAATAAAAAATAAAGATTTTTTTTTTTTTACCGAACACTGTATATTCGTCAGCTCTTCGTCAGATCCACCACAATTTTTAAAATTGTACCTTCCTTTATTAGTTGGAAAATAGTTCCATCCCGTCAAAATTTCAGGGGTGTTGAGAAGAAACAGAAACTTTACAAAAGCATAAATAAAAAATTATGCAGTGTACAATGTATACACCCACTATTATTAAAAGGTTTACTAAATCCTCTACAATATCCATGAAAAAAATCATCAAAACCGAAATTATTAGCAAAGATACAGACCGTAATAATTTATTTATAACGGATGAAATATTGTTATTCTGCCGAAAAAATAATATTAAATGCTGCATCTCATATTACATTGCATTAATTTATTTCTATATTTTTTTACATTTGTTCACTAATCAATTTTATTTTGTCAATTATTCGAATTCTAATTAAAATTATAAATGACATTAACTATCAAATTTAATAAAAATTAATAACTACAAATGATGTTAATATATAAAAAAAACATTACTCCTTCTGAAATGTGGAAATAAATCAAAATATAAATCTTAAAGTTTATACACAACAAAATTAATGATGGATAAACTTACTGAAAAAGCGTACTATTCCGTTAAGTAGGTAGTTCTGTACTTTGAGAATTAGGTCTTTTAAACAACTAAGCGGCGGAAGTAAGAATTCAAGACGTACAGAGCTTCGAAATTACTAAAAAGTTGTGGAAGTTAATTTTTCAATTATCCAATTTTCTATTGAACTATTTGAACTCTGCCGGCAGCCTTAAACATCCTAAACTTATCAGACAGAAATTAGTGCAGCCATAAAAACAAAACCATTACCGGCGGTCTCACCCAGGTAAACGCTCATCGTGCTAAAAAAAAAAGTGTGGGATCCAAACAAATTCACAAGTAGATGGTCTGATTTTCGTTACTGCAAATATATATATATAGGCATTTTAAAGTTGTATTTATTTTAATTATTTATTAGCTATTCCATTAAATGACAACGACCAATTAAATAATGATTTAAAAAAATATATATAAATAACAGTATAAGCAAATTTTCCAATGGTCAATGTAAAATTTACACCCGTAAATAATATGGCATAGGAAAAAATATTTCTTTAGAAGTATAGATAAGTAATATTCTAATTTTGGAAATTTATCCTCAAATACCTAAATCATAAAACATAAAACTGAAATATGTCTTTCATTTTTAAGTTCACGACTGTAAAATGGGGTAATTTAACTCCAAAATTTCAATTATAAGGGGATAAAATATTTTACAAAAATAAACAAATGTAACCAAAAGAAATGTTTGGGAGCTTCTCAAAAGCCTAAAACATATAATAACACGGGCGGATCTACGGGGGGAGGGGGGGCTTTCGGGCTGAAGCCCCCTCTAAAATGGTAAAATATAACCATGTTTTATCGAAAAAAATATTAAAAAATTATCTCTTAAAGTATAATTATTCGTGTAATTACATTCAAAAGGGCTTTAGGAATCACTTAAACACCAGTTCATATAGGTACTTAGTTTCTTTTTTATTTTCCAAAGTAATTATCGTTATTTTTATGAAAAAAAAAAGCTTTCGGGCTGAAGCCCCTCCCCAAAAATTAAATCCTGGATCCGCTAGTGTATAATAACACATAATATAATATATAATATACATAAAACATTAAATAGCTCAATAAACTTTATTAAAAATATTGCAGAGAGCTAAGAACAGTTCATTTCACCCTTCTGCCATATGTCAACGATATTATGATATTCGGAAACAATGGGAGAAACCTTTAATACAACCTCTGAATCCTGCAGGAAGAAATAGAACTGTTTAACACGGAAACAAACATCAACAAAACAAAAATAATGAGGATAGGGAGAGAAGAGGGGAGGGGATACCGAGTACTTCGATTGAAGGGGGAGGAAATAGAACACTCCAAAGACTTTAATTATCTGGGAGCCCATCTAAATGAGATCGGCTGGATAGATGGTAAAATCAGGACAAGAATAGGACTGACCAGCAAATGGTTTCATTCACTAAAATACAAAGAGAGAAGTGTCAACAAATATCAAGAAGACGGTGTATAAAAATACATTTGTCCCCATACTGACCTACGGCAGTGAATCCTGGACTATAATCTCAAAACGTAATAGCCAAATCCAAGCAATGAAAATGTGGTTTCTGAGGAGAATAAAGGGGAAACGATAAAGAGCAATTTGGGAATAAAACCAGCAGAAAATACAATAGAGGAAAATAGGCTACGCTGATTTGGCCATGTCAAAAGAACGCAGGAGGAAAGAATGGGGAAAACTATATATGAAGTAAAAGTGGAAGGAAGAATACCGTGAGGAAGAGCCAGAAAGACCTAGGAAGGTTCAATCAGGGAAGATTTCGATAGAAGAGGAATGAACTGGAATAGAAGCAGTCAGTTGTTGCAAGCGCGAGATAAATGGATCAGGCTCTATCCTCTACACTGATCTACCGTAGACGAGGAATTGACAAAGAAGAAGAAGAAAAATATTAATAACATATTTAACAGATTGAACAATCAATAAACTTCAATTTTCAGTGATTATTTGATTTTACGTATTGCAGTTTGCCAAAAAATTATTTGTGTTGAAAAATAATCGTAATATAATAAATAAGATTTTTATTCCATTTCAACTCAAGCATGTGGGTCATCATTAGGGCATGGCTCCGGTACAGAAGGTGTTCAAGTACATGGTGAGTACTTGAAATGCTTCAGTCGGCTTATATAAAGCTGGACAAGTTAAATATATATTACGGTTACAAATTGGCAATAAAAATAATTATAATTCAATAATAATGTAAACTGATAATAATACAATTTAAATAGATTTTTAAAGAAATTAAAAATGTGTCCGAAATGTGTTTTCGGTTTATTTTATGTTGTTAAAAAATATTACAGTCTGAAATACAGAATACATGTAAATTAGAGTTATAAAAATTGAACGACGAGTAGTAAAATTAAATGATCATTTGTATTATTTGTAAAATGGGGGATGGTCCGTCGTTAAGTGGACAGGAAGTACTCCCCTTATTTATTAATAATTATAAACTTAGTTTAATCCTTTTGTTATGTTGGTATATATACAGATTAGAAAATACGTTAATGATGTGTCAGTGTCAGTGATTAAGCTTTGGTTAAATGAAAAAGCCAGCAGACAAATTGGTATCATAGAGGTCATGAGTTTGGAGGACCGAATTTTTTCTCAACCCTCGCGGGCTGCTATATAATGCGGGGGTGTAATGCATCCGAGGGTCGCCATTACTATTATTAGTGTAATAACTGAGTGCCTTACCAAACCCAACATTATCCTTTCCAATCAGCTAGCCTTTTCATTGAGTAAGGATCCTTCCACGGGTAATTTTTCTACTGAACCAGCTTCTACAGCAGGGGTTTTTTGTGAGCCCCTCACCTCCGAATTTTCCCGTCCTCCACTGCCCATCACAAGCCACATCTAACAAAAAAACAAACAAAAAAATTAAATCAATTTTTAGCAATCACGAACAATATTATAATCAGAAACGGGTTCAGGATGACACCAACAAACATTTAATTCCCGAGTAACTATCACAAATAAATTGAATTAATTACAATGTCTTCATCAAAATTAGTAAACAACCGGATTACATTTTTAATTTATTTTAGTTTAGAAATTATCTTCAAAATAAATTTACAAAAGGAGATTTAATGATTAGTAAGTAGTTTGCCTTGTTAAAATTTAATACCCAATTCGAAGAGGCTGGATGTGCTCCAGGGGAGTCTCCGGACACCATTGTCGATTCACGGCTAATGAAAAAAATACTTGACATAAGCCGAATTTTTAACTCAGGTCACATTCATGGTTATGAATTATTTCAATCAATATTACATAGTACTCTCATACATCTATATTAACTCAAAAACAACATAGACGAAACTAACGCTCTTAATTTAAAAGCTTAACAAAGGAACATACAGTATGACACTCGATTTTTAAAAAACGGTGACACTTATGTAAATAAAATAGGTATTATCTTTTTGATGTTTTAAAAATCACGTTACTTAGCCATTCAGATTAGAAGTCCAGCACCTAATGGAAAAAAAAAAATACTTGTCCTTTGATGTTTAAATAGAAATTATTCACACATTTTTAAATTGTAGAAATACTGTGATAACAGACAATGTTCAGATTGGGGCGTTTTCAATCTGTAGATCGGCAAACATTGTTTACATAATTAGATACTCAAAAACTACTAAATTTTTGCTTTTATAGAGAAAAATGGTGGCCTACAAAAATATTTGGCTGTTTGGCATTACCTCCACCCCCAACATATCAAAATAACGAGGTTATGTATGACAAACGGCAAAATATTTTTGAATCCCACCTTTTTTCTTCCATTTCCATTTTTTTCCCCTTGTGAACTAATTAGGTGCAAAAATTATTCAACCCAATATAATATATTAGTCCGTATATATTAGACCCCCCCCCCCTTTTTTTTATCAAACTATGAACATCCGCTTAAAACTTCGTAAATAGCTTCATCTCTTCGTAAACTACATCTATTTTATTTACGAAAACTCTTGGAATTGAAGCGTTTTAAATCTGGAGGTCGGCAAACTATGTATAATTAATTAGGTACTAAAAACTCGTAAATATCGATTTGCCTTTCACTTGCATCGAAAAAAATTTGATCACAAAATCGATAAAAAAAGTGGGCCTGTACAACCTCATTACTTTGACAATTTGGGGGTGTAGGTCACGCCAAAAGGCCTTTTTTTTAAGGCCACCTTTTTCTCAACTTTGTGCTTAAATTATCTTACGATTTAAGTGGAAAGCAAATGGGTATTCGATTTTGTGATCAAATTATCTTACGATCCAAGTAAAAAGGAAATGGTTACTTACGAGTTTTTAGTGTCTTATTAAATAGACACATTTTCCCGATCTCTTGATTAAAAACTACCTAATTCCGAGAGTTTTTGTAAATTAAATAGATACGTTAGATGAGAAACTATTCGCGAAGTTTCAGGCGCAAATAATTTGATAAAAATGGGTCTGTTCCACGGACTATTATTTTTTATTTATAAAAAACTAAAATAATATTTAGTTACAGTGGCTTATTTGGAGTTAGTTATCAAACAGACAAAAAATGTTTCTTCCGTTTTTTCGTCTTAAAAATTTAATATTTTTAATTCAAATTCCCTGTAAAATTGCATACACATTGTAAATATTTTAGCACAACAAAAGCTAGGCCTAGAGCAGTTTTAATTATTAAAATATTATTATTCAATATCAACTAATATTTATAAAATAAATGACAATACTTCATTGCATCTTTTACATAATTGTCTGGCTCAGCAGCTGCTATAAACCGCTTCAGTTCGTCAAATCCGTCCATTTGCTTCTTTCTCGCAATGTATGAACCTCCTCCATATATTATTCTTGTACCTAGAAGAAATATCATATCATTTTTCTTATCTATTATATATATATATATATAATAGATATATATAATAGATAGGTCCATTTGCTTCTTTCTCGCAATTTATGAACCTCCTCCATATATTATTCCTGTACCTAGAAGAGATATTATATCATTTTTCTTATCTATTATATATATATATATATATATATATATATATATATATATATATATATATATATATATATATATATATATATATATATACATCAACTGATATTTAAATACAAATTTAAAGGTACCTACCTTTATTCCTTCAATTTCATCTAGTTTATGAAACTAATTTAATTAATTATCTAATATTTAATTAATTTATATTGTCCATGAGGTTTCTTTACATCAAAACTCTTGCGTAAGTATTCATAGTAATATTTTAAAAATTTACGAGTGTGTTAATAATTAATACAACTAATTTTTATTTGATTTTGAGTGTTAGAATAATGTTTAATTTTTGTGTTGGGACTGCTATACAAACTCCGTAAATTCCTACTACCTACATACTTCCTGTTAATCCGTTCCTAGCTTATTGATAGATACTTTAATGTAAATCACAACAATGCCTATTCACCCTCCTTTCCCAGTCCGCTGTAGTTCCTGAAGGTTGTATCCTATTTGTTGTAGATTCCATTCTTTATACAATTTATGCAGCTGACATCCCAAACTATCTCAACACTTAACACGTATGCCGATGACACTTAAATCACACATTAAAAACCTTGAAGAATTGTGTCAAAACTGGAGAATTAAAATAAATCCCATCAAATTAACTTTATTTTTCTCGTACACCAATAAAAATACCCCACTTATAGCTGTTGAACAAATCCGTTACCTAGGACTACACCTGGACAATCTCCATACCAGAATGAAATGAAATGAAACCGCTCGATGTTTCCGACTAGTTTAGCACTTACTAGACAAACACTCTAAACTTCCAATTAATTACAAATACATGACTATGTATATATACATACATTATATTATTATTATATTATAAGTGACTATATTAAAGTCATATATACATGACTGCAATATGGCCTATTTGGACTAAGCTATGGAGTTCCACTAAACGATCATATTCATCTTGTATTCACTCCTTACAATCCAAAATCATTCGTAAAATTCTAAATGCTCCATATTTTGTTACAAATACATGTATTTTCATGTATTACAAAAAAAATTTAAATCATTTCTCTCATAGCAGACTGAAATGGCAAGAAACCGCTCGACGTTTCCGATTACTTCAGCACTTACTAGACAAACGCTCTAAACTTCCAATTAATTACAAAACTCATATAAACGACTATAATAAGGCCTATTTGGACTTACTGAGTTGACCTATGGGGCTCCACTAAACCATCGAATTCCCCTCGTATCCAATCCTTACAATCCAAAATCCTTCTTATAATCCTCAATCCTCCCTACTTTATTACAAATAAAACCATCTATAATAACCTGAATGTTCCTTATATTTCAGATTTGACCCAATCCAGTTACCTATTCTTCCATAATAAACTTCAGAACCATCCAAACCCTCTTGTTTCTTGCCTCCTCTTCAATTCCTGATAATCCTCTAATGGGTCTGGAAAGAATATGGCCCAGTGATCATCTAATGTAGTAACATTATTAGAGTGCTACCAGTGGGTAGTTTCTCAAAAAGAGTTTTCAAGTCATTATATCCATTTGTTTAATTTAAATTTACTAGATTTACTTCTTTAATACAGCTGTAAATATCATGAATAAATTTAAAAAAATATATGTTTATATTTTTTCTTATTCAAATTGGGGATGTTTCTATATTTTCGTTTCCCTTCGTTTATTAATACAACAAAAAATTAGTAATTTTGAACAATATCATTTCGGCCCATAATTGATATATGTTTTTCTACTCATATTGTATTTAAAATATTGCAATACTAAGATATGGAGCCCAAACATAACATGAAATCAAAATTTTATCAGCCTTTGATTGCTAACATAAAAAATATAATAACATATTTTACTTGAACTAACTTATTAAATATAATTATAAAACTAAGACAATGTGTCTTGTGTAACACCACAGTTAGTGTCTCTGATTTTGAGTATATAGGTGTTTATTTAAATTTAAGGGCATTTATAAAAAATACAATAAGTATTTTTTATTTATTCAATTTTAAAAAAAAAATTACTGATCCAAAAATAAGTTGCTATAGGACCTGTAACACAGGGATAAATTATAATATTTTTCAAGTTCGAAATAATGTCATTATAACGGTGCACTTTGAAGTCAACCCAATGTCAGGATGAATTCGGTCAAAGATAAAATAAAATAACGATTCTAGAAAATTAAAAATGTTAATTATTTTATACTCGTAGGAATATAAAGGATAGAACTAAGTATAGAATGATCCATTAGACTGCATCGTGAAATATATTAGCTAGAACTTTTTATATTATTTGATGTTTAATAATTTACTTTAAATTTTCATACTTTATAGCTAGAACTATGGAAACTATTCACCTTTTATGTGTTTTTTTCTGATGGAAAAATCCATAGAAGCACGTAAAAAAATGTTTATAAAAAAAATTATATTGTTACAGAAGAATAGGGGTAGATCAGTGAGAAAGGCACTGTGCTCCTATGTACCGGATTCCATGCTCGGATGCGGCTAGTAATTATTTATTCTATTCCACCAGCCATTGATCTACTCTGGGACCAGGAGACCCTCATTGAGGCACACCCAGCCTCTATAAAGTCGGTAACATTAATTAAGCGATTGGTTAGGGAAAAAAAAACTGGAGGTGAAATTACTTATTTCCGTAGACCAAAAAACAATAATAGTTTCTTCCTAAGTACTAAACCTGAAACCATTAATGGGTTGAGTGATATAGTAATTTTATTTTTGTTTTAATTAAATTACTGAAATCTTTCTTGTCAACTCGTCGGTATATAAATATAATACGTAGATGATTAAATTAGGTTTGTAGAGGTCAGATCATCAGTGTCGGCGATATAGTTTTTCTACAGATGTATTGGCCCCAATAGGGAAATAATTTAGAGTTATCGGATGGTTGCTGAACCTGATTTATCTCAATATCAAATAGCGAAGACAAAGGCGATGTAGGTTGCAGCTTTCAATTTTTCTTTCATTGGAACGCCATTTTTGCGTCGGTCATAAATATATTCATATAGTTCAAAGTATATTTGTTTATAGAGACTTATTCTAAATTTATTAATAGATGACACGTAACGCGAGTTCAAAGAAAATTTCATACTTAAATTTCAATTTATTATATTATTAGCATATTTAAAACAATAAAATTACACAAAAATCGTGACCATTGACAAATTAAAATCGATGTCCAAGATGACATAATCAAGTAACTCTGTTAGAATGTTATCAATATACGTCTAAGACCTCATACTTTCTTTATTTGATTCTTTGATTCTTTATTTATTCAAATCCCCATCTAGGGCCATTCTTATCAAGAAAAAAATGACAATATAGATGTAAGTTGCCATATTCTTATACATGCCATAATATTCTAATATATATTTTTTAATTTTCAACATTGTACCAAGAAATTTAAAAAAGAGTATCTACTTGATACATGTCTTTATTATAATACTGTTACCTAATGTCAGTTTGTTTTTTATAAATGGTTATAAGAAACAATAATTTTTATCTAACGGTGAATTAAGGAAGTTCTCAAGTACATTTTTTCAGTGATCATCTTACTGATTCATTAGGAAACATATGTCTAAAATGTAAACTGTATAGTTTTTTTTTTGTTTCTACATCAGCCTTAAAAACTAGTGATATTAATATTATAAAAAACATGGTCCTCCGGGCCGGATTCGATGGACAAATGATTTTTTTCATACGTCTCAAAATGAGAGGAATTCAATGCCTTATATGAGCCCCCAAAATCCTTTCATCTGTTCCCAAAAAGAAATTATTACTGTATGATTTGGGACAGCAAGTAAGATTTAGTTTGTGGTGATTTCGTGGTGGATACACTGTTTTGGATCAGTCTACAAAAACGTAATTTGTGTAGGCATGTACTGCGCTACTACCTTGCGGCAGTTTGAACACTCTACTTCACTACACTCATGTAGTTAGGCTTTATTTATCTCCATTGCTTATTTTTCAAAATTCTTGTTTGCATCAAACTTTCGCTTGTGCCTCGAGAGTAGTGTGCAGCAAGGTAGTGCGCCAACAATGTGTATCCACTACGGAATCACCACAAACTAAGGTTTATCCGCTGTTCCAAAGTTACCCACCCAGTCCCAAAGTTACCCCATCTTACGGTTTAGTATGTATTCAAATATTTTATAGATTTAATATTAGTTTTTTACAGTACAAAGGTATGAGTTTAGTTTATTGAAATGATTAGTTTAACTTTTGTTGATGTAGTTCATTTATTTAATTCACATTCATACTGATTATAAGCCTATTACTATTTTAATTACTTATAATAATTACACAAATACTTATACACAAGATAGTTTATATGTTAGATTGTTGTTAATGTTTATATAATTCAGACAAGAGAAGCTTCTGTAATTTTCTTCAGCGTTAGTGTACCATAGTTGTCGCTCTAACGCAATTGGTCGAATTTTTCAATTTTTTTTTTTTTACTGTATGCGGAGATATCGGTAAAAATAATAATTACTGATGTACCAGATTGCATTGGCGATTCTTCTTAATTTTTATATTTTCATATTATTTGTCAGTCGGAGATCCTGGTTTATCTAGGTCCCATACCTCCAGATCGGTTTTGGCACTTGATGGAATAAGAGTTTATATTCTAAAAAATAATATATTTGTAGATACTTCAAGCCATATGGTGTTATTAATATTTTATTTTAATAACGCTCCTTCCATCACAGCATACGAAATTCCGAAACATTTTTCCTGATTACATTATGATCAATTTATAATTTATTGTAATCGGCAGATGATTTTCTTTTAAGCGAAGTAAAACCTTGCAGGGATTTCGATTTTTATTTTTCATTTCATGAAGTCCATCTTAGAATACAGATGATTGCAATGCTTATATTTCTGCTGGTTCTCTGTCTTTCAGTTGGAAATAAGAGATTTATCATCTGCCTATTTTTATACGATTATATTAATGTTAATTATAAAAAATATATACATTTAATGTCATAAATTAAGAGAAAAATATTGTATTTCCTAGACGATCAAATCAGACTGATTCAGCAAGAAATAAGAAAAGAGGAAGAAAGGAAATCGACACAGGAAGGAAATACGGCATGAAGAAATCATGGGAAAGCAAACAGGATTGAGACAATATAAAAAGTTTAGCAGAATTCTTTAAACCGGCCGGTTGCTCTAGAAAAAATCTCAACAGGAAGAGAAAAACAATTTTCCTAACCCTCCCTTCTTCATGAAGCTCTTCATTTAATTCAAAGTGCGTCAGGGCTCAAAGACGTGAGAATGGTTGTACGTCCTGTTTTTTTTTTTTAGATAAGTACATTACTTATTTTAACCCTATTGTGGGTGATAAGATTGATATAATTGCTGATCTAAACAGTCACTCATAGTTTTTTTTTTCCAAATTGAAATGTATTTAAAATAAGTGTACTACTTCTATAAAATATAATATGGACACTATTACACAATAAATAGGTATGTATATGGTAATTACTTCCTGATGTATTGAAATGTTAAAATGCTGAAGGTATTGTTAATCGAAGATCGTATTGTAGAGGATGGTAAGGTTGAGAGATAAGATTACAAACAAATGAAAAGTCTTGTATTATTGTGTAAAAATTTCGGCCTAAATTTTAATCTTTCTTCAGGACAGAAAAAAATAGATATTAAAATTTATGTTGCGGCATCCTTTTTTTTTAAACATAACAATATTATAACAATTTATGTAACTGAAATGTGTACAATTACAAAATATTTCAAATTTTTATTATTCTAATTACTAATATTACTAAAAGGAACCTTTGTTAATTTCTAGATTTGGTAAAAACATTTAACTTTTATTTATTTAAATACCTAAAAAAAAGTTCCATTTAACTAAGAAATAATTATTAAATTACCTCATATTATAGATATAATAAATGTTGGACTTATACCTGTTTATATTATTATATTATATCGAATCTTTAATTTTTTTGTTATTTCTTTAAAAAGAAAGTTTATTAACAATTTCCTCGGCAATAAGCTATAATTCCAAAATAATATAAAAACGTTTCGGCAGAAATTTTAGGCCTTTATCAGTGTTTGAAAATAAAAGTATTTTAAAAATTATAATTTGAGATTACACATTCTTGTTTTTTACTTAATCTGTATTGTAGCCATTTAAATAATAGAAATTTGCACGGAAGTACTGTTTTATTACTCAACATTTGGGCAATGAACTGACTCAGGTTTTTTTCAGTTAACTAACTACTGAATTAAAAGTAAACACTTTATAGAGGCATCTCTAGGCCGTTGGATCAGATTCATGGATAATTTCACAGAATATATAATTACCTGCCACAGTTGTATTCGAACAAGGGAACCGGATCATAGGGGCATAGTGCCTTAATCACTGAGCCACCCCGCTTTCCAATCATATATAATTGCTAATTCAAGCTGGGGAGCCGATAGAACGACACTCATCAAAATATATCATAGTGTGATTCGAAGCAAAATTGAATATGGAGCCCAAATATATGGAACAGGTCGCAAAACGTTGCTAAAAATACTTGATTCCATCCACAATTTAGCTCTTAGAATCTGCACAGGAGCTTTCCGAACTTATCCAGTCGAAAGTATATATGCCGAATCCGAAGAACCTTCATTAGAGATGAGACGAACATATTTATCTATAAAATATGTCTCCAAATTAAAATCACGTCCACAACACCCCTTGAATTCAAAACTATTTGATGGAGGACCTAGTAGGCGAGGGCGTAAGGAGATAGAGGGAAGCACATTCAAACAAATAATTGATAAAACGCTAAATAATGTGAACATGGATTTGAACTCAATTAGACCCATCCCTAACCTCAAAATACCTAACTGGAAGAACAGTAGACCGACTATAGATCTGTCAATGACAAGACAAAACAAAGAATACCCACTGAAAATTCAAAACTACTTTTTTGAATTATTGGAGAAATATAAAGGTTTTAACGTGATATATACCGATGCCTCCAAAATGGAAAATAGTGTTGGCTGCGCTGTATATATTAATAACAACCAACACCAACTTCTGTTTAGCTTACCAGGAGAGAGCTCCATATTTACTGGAGAAGCTACTGCGATCATGAAGGCCCTCCATTGGATATCAAATTCCAATGACAATCAATGGATGATAGAATCAGAATCCAAAAGCGTCATAGCAGCAATATGTAACCCATGGCCAAGCAATTCAATAATAATTGATATATTGAATCTATGGTGGGAATTAAATGAAAGAACGGTCAGAGTGATATTTGTCTGGGTTCCATCTCATAGCGGTATCTCAGGCAATGAAAGAGCAGACCATGCAGCTAACTTAGCAAGGAAGGGAGAGGCACCAACCATAATTTCTATAAATTATATCACAGTAGAAGACTGGGTACACGCAACAAAAAAGAAGTTGTTGGAAAATTGGGTAAATCGATGGAAAAATAGACAGTCAAAATTAGTGGAAATAAAAACAGACTGCAACAAATGGGATAGTAGCACAAGAATATCCAGAAGAGAAGAAACAATATTGTGCAGAATACGAATAGGCCACTGCCTGTTTACTCACGGATACCTTCTCAGAGGACTGGAACCACCCACGTGGCAAAAGTGTGACAATAAACCACAGTCAATAAAACACCTGTTAGTAGAGTGCAAAGAATTCAACAACATTCGGCGAAAATTGAAACTACCAATGACAATGAAAGAAATATTAAGAGACAACGAAGAAAGAGTCACCACCCTATTCCGGTACTTAATGGAGACGAATTATTACAATAGAATATAGAAAACTAGCCGCCAATGACCCTCTAGGGTAGAGGCGATTACAAATAAAAACAAAAAAAAATTAATTAAGTAGATCTAGTTTTATTTAACTAACAAATTAAAAAAATTACTTAATTTAATAAAATTGTAAACTATAATCAAAGTTTTAACACTAATTCATTCGTTTACGATGATCTTACTGGACATTTGAGCTATTTATGCTGTAATTTTAAAGATATTTACAAAACTAAAATTAAGTAAAATATTTGTTGTTTACAGCTCAACCACGTATTTATAGTTCCTTCTTTTTATCCATAAAAATAGCTAAATAAATATCTAAACAGTTAAATCTTATTATTACTATAGAAAAAAAAATTGAGTTTATTTATATTTTAAAAAATTTATGGCTTAAAAAATTAAATTGATTTAATTTTTAGTAAATGGGTTCATCTACTAATTTATTCATTAATTTTACTCAAAAAAGAGAAAAAGTATTACAAATGTTTTCTACATTAAAAACAAATAATAAAAAGAATACACACAATTATTTTAAAGATATTTCAGAAGAAGAATATTGTTATTGTTAAATTTTAAATAAAAAATTGAATTTATTAATAATGAAACTAAATTAAATCAAATCAGCAAAACAAACACACATAATCAAAATTTTACAAAAATTGTTAACGCACCTAGGTATATTTCAAATAACACTACACATAACGACTTAAACACCCCAACAGTAAAATCATACACGACAAATACACTTCATTTCATTCTTCAACTCAAAATCATTTCAATCCACTAGTTCATTCTATTTCCTGCTCCCTGTTATCCGATCCGAGGTTAAAAAGAAAATGGCCGCTTCTTCAACAATAACAAAATGAAAGCAAATCAAGCGAATTCGAAGCAAATAAAAAATACAGGTGCAGATGCACATTACATAGAATATTAAAATTAAAATAAATATAATTAAATTAGGATTATCTTAAATTACCTACATTTTTATTTTATATAAATTATATACAGCTTAAAATTCAGATCAGATTATACTTATAAACAACTCAAAAATCATTTAATTTATTAGTTTTATTTTGTTTCTCTTTGTCCTTTGTTGTTAGTGAGATTAATTTACAAATACTAACTAAAACGTAATTTCAAGCATAAGACCATTGCGTTTTCTAATTTTTTTTTTTTTCAATTATTTCAAACGTATAAAATATGTATATGAATCTTTCAGTTGACAGAATGACTAACTCCAATTTCAATAAATTCATTTTAGTGATATTTCTAGTGGGAAAATTTATAATGACTTTACAGAGAGTGAGTATGTTGAATTCCAGAGTAGGAGATTGCAGTGTTGAAATACAGAACTTTGAATAAATATATACATTTTCTCACTTGAAATATCAATAGAATTAATCATAAAAAAAAATTGGTAATTGGAGTTATGCATTCAGTCAACTGAAAAACTCATATATTTATCTAATGATTACATTGGTTGATGTAGACACCTAGCAAACTTAAAATTTTAAAGAAATATAAATACAGAAAGTTTTAACGAATTGGAGATGGTTGAAAACTAGGTCTTTTATGCTGAAATAATTCAAAATTTGAATAGAGTACCTGGTATCAATACAATTTGGTTTCTCACCGCACCGATGCCAGCCCATTAACTGACGGGGTGGCAAAAACACTAGAAGTCATCGTTGGGTAACTGGACAAATATTAGGCCGTACGGATGCATAATATTTACTGGGGATGAGGTCAGTAGGTCAGTGACGCAATCCAGCTCGCTCACAATACGGAAGAAACTGTTTGATTGTTTTGTTTAATCTTTACTGGAGCAAGTTTACTACAGTTACCCAGGACAAATTATCGAGAAATGTATCATCCATTGAGATATCCTTTTAAGAACAAAATATTATACAATAATCCATAATAATAACAATAAACTAAAACCATTTCGTCAAACAGGCTCAGCAAACAGCAACGTTGAAAACCTCAGTTGTTATGTTTATTCGAATGAAAATTATCTTTTGTAGCAGAGAAATATTGCATCTATTTCAACATTTTTTAAAGTAACTATTTAGCCATAATTTTACAATAATACATGGATCGAATAATACATTGAATTACGAATAGATATGGTGTAGGACCTCAAAGCGCCCACATGCAGACAATGAATCAGCAATTGATTCATATAGACGACATTCACAAAATCGACATATAGAAAATGGAAATTTTATTACGGTTTTTATTTCAATAGATTTTGAATCTGTGATTAATATTTTTAAATTTATAGTTTTTTTCTAACAGAATTTGTTAGAAATTAAGGACAGAAATTTCATCGATTAAATTTCCATATTAAAATTCTCTATATCTATACCCCAGAGGTAAAGAACGCCATGCCCATTTTTGTATTTGGATTACTTACTCCGGAGGTAAAGCATATCACATTTTTGTATGTTTTCGAGGGGCCAGTTTTCCATAACTTTGGGCAATTAAAATTTAATTCTTAGTTACTAAATTATTTAATAAAAAAATGGACATGGTGCCCTTTACCACAAATATCACCATTGATGTGAGTGACGTAATATAATAATATAGTAATATTTTTGCCCTCCACTGCCCTTCATTTATAGTAATGATTTTGCGTTGTTTTTAAATGTGCGCAATGTTTTGTTTTTCCATGGTGATTATTCTTTTATAAATGTGAAGGTATTTCTTTTAAAAGGAAAGCAACAAGTTGTCAAAGGTTGTCAAGAAGAAAAAAAAGTAGTACTCATATTAAACAACCGTTAATTGTATTCATCCTTAAATATAAGCATAAATAAATACATTATATTAAATAATTTAATTAATAAATAACTAACGATAAGTGGACTACATAACTATACAGTTATAGGGATGGTCCCCTAGGGTAGGTAGCTTCCCGAAGAATAGGGCCTTTGGTGACTGTTCATCGGGAAGTACGGGTCCTCTTCGGGTAGCCTAGGCCAACTTTCTGCAAGGCCCTCCTTCAGCCTTCTCCTTTCCAGTTCCTCCTTCCAGTCCTTCTTCCTGTAAGATAGTCTCCTAAACTTTTTTTCCAGATCCTTGTTCTCCGCCAGTATATCTTCCAAGTTATCTTTTAACATTTTCTTACAGCTTTCCATATCACCCTTTCTTCTTTTGTTCTGACATTCTTCGATTTTCTTGTGCCATTTGCCACCTCTCCTATATATCTGATCAAGTCGGGCTTTTCTAGGATCTTCGTCTTTCTCTTTCATATCCTCCGTATTCTTTTCAGTATCCTGCTTTAGCTCCTCTAACGCTTCTAGAAGTCTTTCTATAGTTTTATCGTCGAATCCATCCACAGCAGGATAAGTGCTGTCTTCCCTCTTGTAACGCGAAGGTTGAGGGTAAACACCATGAATTAATTTCCTCATAATCATGTTCAAGTCATTGTAGGTAGTAGAATAGCCTCGGCATTCATCGGTGTCTTCAGGCTCGGTTTCGGGTTTTTTCCCGAGGATCACAGATTGCAAAACGACATTAGGCTCAGCTGGAAGATCCACCTGTTGGAAAAAAATAAAATTAGTTGTATAAATAAAGAAGTAAGATTAAATAGAAGTAAATTGTTATTAAAGTTTATATTAAACACAAAATGTAATTAAAAAGAGACAAAAACTTCAGATTTTAATAGAAGTTGAAAGAGTATTAATAATATTTGAAATATTCTTGACAAAATAACAAAAATAAAATAAATAATAAGAATGAAACCTACCATAAATACAAAGAATTTAGACAAGGATAATCCGGAAGTAAAAATAATAATAATAATTAAAACTCAACTTTATGTCATTAAGAAAACTTGAAGCTTTATTTTTAATAATAAAATTTATTTTAATTAATTAAAATATGCTCAAACTTAAAAATTTAAAAATTAAGTTCGAGCTTAGAATGAGAAGCGTATCTGAATCATTAGGTAGGATAAAAATTAACAAGAAATAACATGAATTAGACAAGGCAATGCCAATAGAGCACTTGGAAAAATAGCTAAATAATAAATTTCTATTATTTTATAATTAGGAGATAAGTTACTACTTGTTGATACCCAGTAGTGAACAGTGTAAGAATGTAGAAGTTATTTTTTACTATTTCACGATGAAATACAATAAAAAGGGACCATTTTTATTACTTGAATATATTAGACTTTTCACTACCACTTCTTCTCTTCTATTTCCTTATCCACAGTTTTGTATTTTTTTAAATATTTCTAAGTTTATTAGTCAGTGGAATTTCATTCCACATGGACTCGCAATTTGTTTGTACTCTGTCTTTTAGCAATGTTTTTACATCACTCGGCTCATATATTTGGAGAGGTGGGATATTCATATGACCAGCTTCTTTTGCAGCTTTATCCACTGCCTCATTTCTTGGTATCCCGGAGTGTCCTGGAGTCCAGAAAAAAAAATTATACTTTTATTCTTAATAAATAATAAAAGTATAATATTAAAAAACAATCTTTTGTTTATTATTTCGATGTATTGGTGGATTCTGTATTTTGTAGGTCCAGCTTTATTGAAGTTTGCTATACTCTGAAGGGCGGACGGAGATTGAATCACAACATATTACTATTTTCGAGCTTTCTATATTTATTGATAGATGTAATGCTGCAAAAATAGCCTGCAATTCTGCAGTATATATTGTTGGGGTTGGAGGAAATTTATACTTATTGAGTATCCCATTAATAATTACTGCAAAACCGACATTATCATTCTGTTTGGATCTATCAGTGTATATTATTTTATGGTGTGAATATTTTTTAATTTCTTTTAGGAATTTAAGTTTATTGAATTCTGAGTTTTGGTGCTTAAAAGTGAGATCTATCTTAACTGGTTGGTATTTCCATTGTGGCGATCTAAAAATAGAGTCAGATTGGTCATTAGGCATGCTGTCTGTATATTTCTCCAATGACTTCTCTTTGCCTTATACCTAATCTTCTCTGTATCGTTCCAATTTTATTATATATACCGCCGAAGCGAATACTAATCCCTAAGGTGGATTGTTTATCCTCTTCGTAACATGTCAACAACAATATCTGTCAACTCTTGTTGAAACTAGCTTAGTATTGTGTTTGCTATTGCACTGTGAATATGGAAGAAAATATCATTCATTATCGGTATATTTTGTTGTATTATTTTAAAAAAAAGATAAGCGTGCAGCAGAAGCTCATAGAAAAAATCATTAAGACCACAGACCCCCATCAAACTAGCATTCGACTGGACTAATCCTCAGTCACGGGGAATTATCTTTTAGAGACATATTCTTCAAATCATATCAAAATTCCAGCAGTGCGTTCTTTCGGTCTGAACCCTCCTCCCCATCTCTCCAAAATGGTGAAACTTGTTTTAAGAAAAAATATTTAAAGAAAAGTATTATTGTTCGTCTTATAAATTATAATTGGACCTCAAGAATCAATTGAACACCGGTTCATATAAGTAGTCAGTTTCTTTCTTTTTCTTTCAAAGTAATTATCATAATATATATTAAAAATAAAAACTCTCGGCTGAAGCCCGTCCCTAAAATTATTTCTTAGATCCGTTAATGCAACTCCGCGCCACAGATATTGAGAATAGTAAATAAATATTAAATCATAAGAATTTCAATCAATGGTGTTAATTATTGATGTAGACATCTCAATGAAGGTTTTCGAACAATTTTCAAAGAATCTAAAAATTTGCAGTAGATCAAATGTTGAGAATTACTCAGTTTCTTTCTTAATTACCTTACATTTAAAATGATTCTCGATGAGCAATATATATTTTTTTGCTCAATCGACGCTCATGTACTATCCTTTAAACAAGGAAAGCAGTTAAGTCGAAATAAAGAAAAAAAAAAAAAGACAATTCAATATATACTAAAATTATTGATAAGCCTAGTCCATCGTTTTTTGTGTACGTTTTTCAATACTTCAATTAGACCCACGAGCTTACAATTTATTTTAGCGCCCTGAAAACCGGGCCCTAAATAAATTAGACCTGTAGCTTTGAATGTTTATTGTAAATTTTAGTCCACAGAAGAACATAAAAAATAATATGATGTCTACTTTTTCTCCATTTGGGATCACTGTGTAAAGTACAAATAAAGACATAAAACGTAACAAAATTCCTGGAAAACTGCCAATTTATGCAAGGTAGATAAAAGAGGGAATGTTTTATAGCATGTCGGGGTTTCTAAATTAATATAGACTAAAACCATTATGTTAAGACCAACCCTTATTATTTTTGATAATTTTTTTTTACAAATAAATTAAATAAAATTTACACGTATTAAATTGTAAACATGGCAATGTATTGTATAAGGTTATTTACTGAATCAATTATAAATAATTATTACCTATATTACTATCAAGAGATAAAAAAAAAATCTGTAGTAAAAAAAACAGCAGAGAAAATCAGCCCACAAGTAAATGAAGATAAAACCAAATACATGATAGTGAGCTGACAACCCAATTACAATTTTTAGCCACAAAATTATTTGAATTTCTCTTGAATCTTTTCCTTCGCGTTTTCTTTCAATCTTGAATAAATAAGTTAGGCCTAAATTATATTAGGCATAAATTTATTTGTGTTTATGTAGGATTCTTCGTTTGTTTTTCTGTACAGCTTCCTTGACTGAATTTGCC